GCGCCATTGTGTCCAGGCGAAGGGCTTGAGGCCGACCGCCTAGCCCATTGGCATCAGAGAGCGCTAACAGGCGCCACAATACTGCTGCTTATCTATTGCTTATGCATGCCGATTTGCGGCATTCATTTCTTCTCAGTCATTTACCCTTCACCATTTGCAGTTAATTTAGGAGCCAGACAAATATTGTAAAAATTAAAAAAAAGTAGGGGAGGGAGACGGCGTGATGAGTGCATGAAGTGGGACGAAGAATGCCGTCGGGACATCAACGCCACCGCATCATGTGAGTGCAGTGGAAGTAGGGGAAGGGGAAGGAGATGGGGACCACAGCGTATGCTCATGAGACCGCGGTGGCTCTCACCTCTTCTCCACCTCCTCCCAGCCTCCACACCCACGACATCACTTCAGGCGGCGAGTTAACAAAGACAGACTGTGAGTGCATGCATGAAGTAGACACAACGTGCACCACAAAGACCACGACGACAAAAACCACATCGCATCACATGATGAAGGATAGTGACAAGCAGGGTGGTGGGCGACGTTAAGTGGGTTAATGCTAAAGACCGATTACAGGTGAAGGCAATAGCTACGGCTAGAGCACAGAAATAATTTCTATCAACACTGCCAATAAGATGAGGATTGGGAGTATGTGGGAGCAGATGGGAGGAAGGAGAGGAGGAGGAGGACCGATGTTGATGAAGGAAGTAAATTGGACGGAAAGACGGACCGATGAAGTCGAGCATGCGTGTGCGGTCAATCATCAGACGATAGCGCAATGTGGAGCCACGACATGGCCTTAGTGTTGTAGGGAAAGGGAAAGGGAAGTAGGAGGAAGTAGTGGAGGCACGAGAGGTGAGGCACACAACCACATTGTCGCTTCGAGCAGTTGATTAGGTGGAAGGAATGCTTCTTCCTCCACGCGTTAGACACTGACACGAATGAGAAACGAGGCGGTGTGTGTGCACACCCGCACAGGTGTCGATGTTAGCGCACTTGCTTCATCCTATACCCTAGCTAAAATAGGAACACCTAGACCTCCTTCCACAATCAGCTGTCAATTACAACTAGTTGCGTCTTCATCCACTGTTCTCATACCAGTCTCCAGAGCAGCTGAGAAGATTTGAAATGTTCCCAATTTTTACTGCCTTGCACTCAACTTCTACTTTTTTTCACTCACTCAAACAATCTTCCTTCCTTTCTCACTCAAAACGTCATTTTAAGACACGAGATTATGTGGGCAAGTGTAAAGTAGGTAAGCGGCAATAGTGAGATTTCAGTTCATGTAGTGGTACCTTGGTACCGCATCCCATGATGACAGACAAAAATCCACGCCAAATAGTTAAGCACTTTATCGCCCTACAGTATCGCTAACATTCAAACTAGCACAGAGAGCACACACCCACCATCACTACGACATGTCCACATCATTACACTAACACATGCATACAAAAAGTCCCCCCT